AAAATATCAAATTTTTACGTAGCAAATGACGAGACTTCTGCTACTACTGCATTCGAAACTGTAATGGTGTGAATATAAAAAGTATTATATCTGAAATCCACGATGTGCCCATACCTGACTTGAATGCAAGAATTCCTGCAGATGGAACTGAGTCAGATGATTCATTACTAAATGTATTGATTAAAGAATCATTTCCTTGTGATAAAGGCAATTTCAGTGGAAAAAAGGGACTTCTCACTGAAAAGGTTTGTCTCGAGGGGGCCCTTAATGATTTTGGCGGGGGGGCCAAAGTATGAAGTTACGCCACTGTGCAGGCGACAAAAACTTTTATCACGGTGAAACGACTTTTTGGGTTTTTGACGAGTATATGGTCAGCAAATTTTTTGGGGCATTCCTTATGCCGAAAAGAACTCACCACAAATTATGAATAGAAACTGTTTTATACAGGGTGTTTCATAATTGAATGCTGATCCTTAAGGGCGATAATCCTTGGATGATTTCAAAGAGAACAGTTTATATCAACATATGTCCTAAACCTCTTAGTTATTCAGCTACAGGGTGATGAAATTTCAAGAAAAAAATGAGTTTTTCATCATAATTTTTTATCACTCTTAGATATTGTTATGATATTTTGTATAAACCTTTTCATTATTCAGGAGCATTTTTTTACGTGAAAGATATTCGAAAATTCTCACCAGTGGCGTCCGTACGGGGTTTGGACTGACAATTTTTGAAGAAAAAATAGTACGCCACTGATTTTTCTGAGAACCAGATTTTTTTCTCAATTCTTATTCATTTTGGAGAAAATTTGGTTCCTAGACTTACTTCCATGAAACGTGCCGTTTTCGCGTAAAAAAATAAAAACCAAAGAATTTAGTTCCTTCAGTTCTTGGATATTGTTTTTGGTTATTCAGTAGACACCCACTATAAGTGGAAACACATTTTGTTTTGGGACGAAAATCAAACTTTTACTTTAACCAGCGATGTCCTCGTAGACCTGATATCGAATGTTTAGTTTAAAAAAACGCTGTACGCTTCTGATTTCAACACCCTGTAGCTCAAAAACAAAGAAGTTCGGGACATATGTTGATATAAACTTCTCTCCTTAAAATCATCCAAGGATCATCGCCCTTTAGGATCAGCATTCAATTATGAAACACCCTGTATAGAGACAATGGATTCGTTTTCTTTTTATAAGAATTAATACTTGACGCTTTCATAGGGGTTTGCTATATTGAAAACTTGATTTTGATATATAGAGCTTGTTCGGATATTCAGGAACAGTACTGCCCAGTATATTTCATCATTCCGATTTTACATTATACATTATTATTTTCAAATACTTTGGGAAAATGTATGAATCCGAACTGAAAGATCTCACAGAGGCAGTAGACTCTGAAACTGCCACTGATCTACAAGATAGTTTGTTATTTCCATACTGTTGATATCAAACTCGTAGCTAACTAGAGTTACTAGAGCTTGGTGTTTCTGATGAATCAGAATCACTATTGGATGATATGTCTTCTATTAAGTCAAGATAATATGATTAATCACTCCAACCCTAATTTCAACGTGAGTATAGAAGATAATAATAAGAATGATGAAAATAAAAACCAACAAAACAAAACATCCAATATGGAAAGATCATAGGTTATGGTTATATGTTTTGCTGCCAGTGTTCCAGTAGTCTAATACTGCCAAAATCGAGGCCAAAATCGTTTCAAAATGAAATGAAAATTCAAAGCTATTGCTACTGTTTAGCATTCCTAAATTGCTTACTGTGGCCAGTGATGTCTGCAATGTCGGAACATGACCACAGTGTGCAGAAGAAACGAAATTCTCCAAATGACATTGAAAGTGGCTTTTCCATGACACTTAACAGGCAGCAAAGGTGTACTTTTTGTGCCTAGGTAGCAAAAGTTAATTTGAATGAAATTGGTAATAAAAATTGACACTGACATTGGGAGGTAAATACCTCGGTAAATACACATAAGAGAGAGAATCAACGTCGGGAAAAAATCGCAAGAGCTTGCCGGAGCGATTTTTTCTACTTCCCTTGATTCGAGATTTTTTGCCAAATGATAATAAAACGTTAATACAATAATTTGAAATGCATTTATCAATAAGAACATTTCTCGAATTCTTCTCATGGAGATTAATACATGAACATGAAAAATGCCAACAGTTCTGTGAAACTGTCCATGCTCCAGATGGTTTGGAACTGTTTATTTTAGAACAGGAACAAACGTAATATGTATATCCATGTACAGTGTGACCCATTTCAAATGGAAACACCCATGTATCTTAGGTAATCGTTGGGTAAGTATCTTGAAATTTGCTGGAGCGAGAGATATACAAAAAAGCACTCTATGACCAAGTGATATACACTGCTCGCCAACAGCCATGGAACCACCCCAATTTCAGGAAAATGATATTAGGAGTCAAACTAGGTTGAAAATCACTTCGGATTCGGAATCAGGAAGCCCAATTCCTATTCATAGTTTTCCTAGAAAATTTTCAGTTCAAAAAAATCAAATTTTGTATCACTTCTCATGAAAGCACCCCCGTATCTCACGTAATTATTGTGGTAGGGTTCTGAAATTTGCAGGAGGAAGGGAAAGTCCAAAGATGAAGTCAATTATGTAAGATACGGGGGTGCTTCCGAGAAATGGCTGTTGGCGAGCAGTGTATATCACTGAAAACGACCCCACTTGGTCATAGAGTACAGTTTCTGTAGCTATCTATCTCTCGCTGCAGCAAATTTCAGGATCCTTACCCAACGGTTACATAAGATACAGGGGTGTTTCCTTTAGAAGTGGGTCACACTGTATATTCGAAATCATACAAGGTAGCTCAACTCAATTGAAAGTTCTGATTGGTGTAAAAGTAATAATATGAAGAAAATAATCCGTAGTAAATACTATAAGTACTTCAAAATATTCCGGTTATACATTGATAACTTATTGAATAATTACAAAAAGTGTTACTTTAACAGTTGAAATAATCCGACCACGAAAATTTTGAAGTTTGAATTGTATTTGATGAGAATATTTTTTCAGTAGTTCAGAATGAACGTCAAAATTTGATGACGCGCTTTTGTTTCTATGTAACAACGCTTTTGTTTCTATGTAACAATATGGATTGGTTACTATGAAAATAATTCTGAATTTTTGATTTGTGAAGTTACTCTATGTATATCCATGAATATTCGAAATTATACAAGGTTGCTCAACTCAATAGAACTTTTTCTGATTGGTTTAAAATCATATGAAGAAAATAATCAGTAGTAAATACCCAGGTAAATAGTATAAGTACATATTCGGGTTATATATTGATAACTTGTTGCATAATTACAAAGTTTTAATCCAAGAGGTGAAATAATCCGACCGCAAAGCGGGAGGATTATTCTGTTAAACTGACGCGATTTGTAATTGTGCAGGGAGTTTGAGAAATATAACCTTGATTTTGAAGTTGGAAATGAAAATAATTATAAATTTCTGATTGGTGGAACTATTCTATGAATATCCATGTTCTCTGTGATATGTTTAGAAATCTGTTGTAAAGGCGATATATTTATGTTTTTATTTACACTGGGTTCGCCTGTCAAAAAATAAATGAATAAATAAACAAATGAATAAATAAATAAAATAAATAAATAAAACAAATAAATGAATAAATAAATAAATAAATGAATAAACAAATAAATATTCTAAATTATACAAGGTAGGCTAGCTCAATTGAATGTCCTGATTAGTTTTAAATCATAGGAAGAAATTGATCAGTGATATCAGAACTCAACCTAAATATACATGGAACTAGGTAATAAGTATAGTGAGTCAACTTTCATTTACTGAATTAAAATAAACTTAAGATGAATTATGAGTTGCCTTGTAATCAACAATATCAATATTTACAGTTCAACTAAAAACTTACCTACTAGAAGTCATTTTTTCTACCTCCTCTATGTAAAAAGAAATCTGAAAAAAAAAATAGAATTGGTATCTTCAAGCCATATGCTTGATTCGGTTAAAATTCTAACATGCCTCTCAACTCAACATACTTGGCCTATTTTTTATTATTTTCATTAGGTGAAAAAATATGTATTTTGATTTAGGTAGGTACTTAAGAAATATAATTAGATATACATTTTTCATTACAGAATAACATAACATCATTATGTTTTTCGTCAATACCGAAAAACTATTACTAGACAAATATCAACTGCAAAGTTTTCATAATATCCATTTCCTTTCAATTATGGTTGTTATGAGGTGGAATTTGATTTTGCAATTTATGGCATGACAATATCACTATTACAATAATAATTAGCTACTTACCAGCTGTAAATAGAGATCATTTGATTTGTGACTTCATGCTGTAACTTCTGGCACAAATTACCAGAGTTTTCAATAAAATAAATAATAAAACAGTGTTTTTATATGCAGATTTCACAGAGGGGAAGTTCATCGTTCTACGAACAAATTTATACTGACAGCCATGATGTGGATGAGCGCGACTTAACACCTCAACTTGTTTCCGATTGGTCCAAATACATACGATGTGAGTCAAAGGAGTGTTATATTTCAAATAAGAGAGTAATGAAAAAAAAAATAGCTTCACTATGATCACAAATCTCAGATATTAATTTCAATAATTCACTATTTTGTTTCGAAACTGTTATCGAATTTCGAGCGGAATGTTTTTAGAAGAATACAAAAGAACAGTTGATTTGACTCACATCATCATTTTTTCTTCTGTCAAATCAACTTTGTCAATGAGAATGACAATCCCGAGTCACAAGTCAATTGTCACAACTCAAATTTACGTAAGGCTTAAGTAAGGGTCAGGTTAGAGGTTCCTGTCGCACGTGTGATTGAGCATTGTGGACTACCGTGAACTGTGACTGTACATGGAAAGTACTATGGATTGGAGCGACTGGACTAAAAGAAATAAGAAGTGGAATAGAAGTTTGAATGGTTTGTGGTTATGTTATTGTTCAAAAAAGGTTCAAAAAAATACTGTGCTCTTGGCTCTTGGTCCTTGTTTCAATTTTGTCTTTTTGAGTTGTGCTTGAGACGAAAGCTCCACAACTGAAGATTAAAGATGCGTTCCAATAATCCCAAACCTAATTCCAAGAAAACAAAAAATCGTAAAACCAAAATCAACTTGGTCTTCGACGAAGATAAGAGAAGGTAAACTAGCTTCTTCTATGTGATGTGCAGGGTCTTCCTCAACTTGAGAAACAAGAAACAACTGGAACAAGTAAAATTGAGAGTTGATCACGTTGATGTAATGTAATTCATATCAGTCATATCAACTTGAAAAATCATTACCCATTAATCATGGCCTATACCTCCTAACTTTTTTCAGAGATTTTTTGACAGGGTTTCATAAGCGAAAACTACAACGTAAAAAGGAAGCTAAAGAGAAATTTGAAAAAGATTTGAAAGATGAACGTAAACGGATCAAAGCAGAGGCAAAGGAATCTTACAAAAAGTTAGTTGTATCTCATCGGCCAATACCAGAACTAGAAAATTTACTGAGTGAAAATTATGAGGATGATGATGTGACTGTTAAAGTAGTTGAACTTTCAACCAATGATATTGCCATGAAAAACAATTGGATTGGGGCTAATCAGCCAAAATATGAGGAAAATGAGGAAATAGAATCAGATGTACAGAGTGATGCAGAGGAAATACCTGGTATGGAGCTGAAACATAAAAAAGCATCAAAAGTGAAAAAGAAAGAAGTTTCGAAATTTGATTCAGAAAAGGATGTTAAAAAGGCACTTAAAAAACAAGCAACCAAAACTGTGAAAAATAGTAAAATTTTCCAAATGAAGAATAAGATGGAAAGGCAAAAACAGATGAAGAAGTCCATCAAAATGAAAAGACAAAGGATTAAAATTCATGATAAGAAAGGGAAACATGGTCCAGGAAGTAGGAAAAGAGCTGATAAACATTAATGGTTTTACTGTTTAGAGCAAGGATTGAAATATACCTAGGTCTGAAAATGATTGCCATTCAGTATTTCAGTTCATTGAGTCCCATACCTAATACTTGTCTACTCAAAGTCTACACCAATTTGTATGGATAACATATCTGAATGTTCCTGACTTCAAGTGCAGTTCAGGAATTTCATTTCCTGCACTTTAAGAGATTGAGAAAAAATGTTCTGGTTACTGTCCATTAGAGGACAGGATTATGCATATTGCAGCATATTGTTTTGAATAAAAGCATAAATAATGGTGAAGTAAACAAATAGATGCCTAATTTATGCATTCACTGAATATAAATATAGGATATAAGTACTATAAGTAGGTAGTAGCAAGGGATTGTATAGACGAAGAAGAATCCAAATCAAGTCACATAGCCTTGGTAACTGAGGCCGAAAAAATAGAAGAAAAAGCAATGTTGGCTACACTGCATCAGAAATGGAGGGAAAATAACCTAGTTTTTTAGAAATAAAATAAACCAACAATATTCTCCCGGGTGTTCTCTGAGGAATACTAAATATATTACATATTTTATAGTGGTCTTCAAGCAGTATTGAGTACAAAGAGTAAACTCGTACTGCTCTGGTTGAATTTCTCGGTTTCCACATTGCTCGATTTTCAAACAGAGAATATTTAATATGAGTCCAATAAAAAGAGGAGCTTTAATTGTGATAGAAGGTGTAGATAGATCAGGTAAATCTACACAGTGCAAAAAATTAGTGCAGTCCCTAGAAAATAGGAAAATTCAATCCAAACTACTCAACTTTCCTGATAGAATGACATCAACTGGAAAATTAATCAATGAATACCTAAAAAATGAAGAGTGCACACTGAATGACCGAGCTATCCATCTACTGTTCTCTGCAAACCGCTGGGAAAATCTAGAAAAAATGAAAACATTATTGTATGATGGAGTCACCTTGGTTGTTGATAGATATTCTTATTCAGGAATAGTTTTTTCAGCTGTGAAGAAAAGTAAGTGAAAAATAACTATAAGCTATCTCTGTTTAATAACCATCAGTTTGAGGGAACAAATAGTGTAAATTATGAGCATTCCATCCTCCTATTGAGTGTAATTATGGTTTTCCATTCAGATATGAACTTGGAGTGGTGTAAACAACCTGAAAATGGTCTTCCAAAACCTGATTTAGTCTTCCTACTAACTCTGAGTCAAGAAGAAATGCAATGTAGACCAGGATTTGGAAGTGAAAGGTATGAAAATGTTGTATTTCAAAGAGAAGTGGCAAATATGTATGACCAACTATGTGATGAACATGACAATTGGGAGAGAGTAGATGCTGCTGGAAGTATTGATGATGTACATGATAAATTACTTGATAAATGTGTTAGTAAAATTGAAGAAGTTGGAGATACTCCACTAGGCATTTTGAACTTCAACAAGAAAGTCCAAGATACCATGTAATTTTATTCATCTTCAATTTTCCGGGATCTAAAAAAAAAAAAAAAAAAGTTATGCTTGATAAATAGCCAGAAGAAGAGCAGCAGAGTATTATGCTAAAAGTAGGTAACTGCAGATATCATGAAAAGAAATAAACATATTTTATTAAATAAGACTGTATCAAAGTGAGTATTCATCAATCTGCCAAGTAGATTGAATAATTGTGCAATGCACATTGTAAATAAACTTGAAAATATACACAGTAAAACAAAACACTGAATGTAAAACATTTCATTTTCCTTTCTTGAATTTGGTTCCTTTCAACTCTCCATTGATGTATTTCACTCCATATGGACAAATTTCATGATTCAAACATGTAGCACATTGAGGTCTCAATGGTTGACATATCTGCTGACCAAATCCTACTAAGAGATGATTGACCTCACTCCACAGCTCATGAGGTAGCCAGCTCTCCAAGGCTTTTCTAGTTTCCTCAGGAGATTTTGTGTTTGCCCAACCTAAACGGTTTGATATCCTATGAACATGTGTATCAACACCTACAACAATAATTATATGTATATCATTAGAGGATGTGTATTTCATGACTATCTGGTATTGAGCAGTATAAACACACCTATGCCAGTAACTTGTCCCCATGCTGTTTTCATACAAAGATGGGCCATTTTTGGGCCAACTCCTGGCAATTTACATAATTTTTCAACTGTATCTGGTATGTCACTCTCATACTCTTCTATGAGAATCTGAGTGGACTTCTTTATGTATTTGACTTTGCTCTGCACAAACAATAATTGTTAGGTAGGTACCTGTTATTTCATAATAACAATATTGTAGTAAATTGTATTTCCACTTGAAAAAAGAGTCAAATAGATAGCTCATTATTATAATAATTGAGATGAGTTCCCTCATGTTTGTTGGATGCTATTGAGAAATGTTTTCAAGAAGCAAAGATGTAAGTATAGTCAATCCAAAGTCAGTGGGGAAAAACAGGTAGGCAGAGGTTTCATGTTATTTGAAATTCATTTGGAGACATGGTCACACATTCACAGATTGGGATTTGTTGCATGCCCTATATGATGAACATCCTCAACTGACTTTGGATTAACTATAAAGTGATGTACCTTCCAAAATCCAACTGGATATATAAGTTCACCTAATTTTTGATCAGATGTGGCAAGAATGTTTTCAACATTACATCCATGATCCCTCAGCCTTTGCATTGCAGCATGTGTGACTTGGTCCCTAGTTTGACTGCTCAACATGAGTGATAGTAGTAGTTGATATCTAATGACCTGCAAACTGCAAGCTTAGAAAACACAGTGTTGAATGTTATGACATTGCATCTAATTATTTTGATCATTAGGAAACTATGATATTGTAACATACATTTGGAGCAACACCTTCATCATGACATTTATCACATCCCATTGTATCAACAGGTGCATCAGAATTTTTTCTCATTTCCCTCAAATTCCCTAAAATTTCACTCCATCTATTTGGAGGATCAGTATTATCATATTCTATTTTGATGTGCCTTCTCTTAGATGGACTTGGAGATAACTTTTCTTCTTTAATAGTAGTTTCATCTTTATTATCTTGGATATTTTGATTTATCTTCAACATGCTATCATTGCCATTTCCTTCTTTCACTGCACCCTCTGTTTCTTTGTTACTTTCCAAAATCGCATTTCCAGATAACTGTAGTTTAGGTTTTTTCTTGAAAAGTTCCAAGGGTGAGGATTTATTAGTTTCTGGAATAATATTGGGATAGTGGCCTTTTCTACTTCTTGTACTATATTTTATAGTGGACGTCTCCTCCCACTTATTATTGGCTGTCATGGTATATATGATTCGTAAACGAACATGGATTGAGTAAGGTATCCTGAAAATGAAAATAATTGGATTTTATCTGAGGCACGTTCAAAAGTTGACTGTTGAAATTTGAAATACAATAAAACATAAATACAAATACATTAAATACAAACCAACAACAAACATGAAACACAGATCAGATGATGACATATGGACATTTGACATAGAATCCATAAACGCAGAAAATAGGTGGATATCACAGAACCATAGATCAAAAACTTGACACTTTGACAGGGTAAAGCGGGATTTATAGATTGAAGCGCAACCGTTGCGGTTGCAGCCGCCGTAGCAGTTCTGGAAAAATGAGTCAATTTATACTTCATTCCTGGGGCCAACTGTTTTTCTTCATCACTAGATTTTGTTATTTTCATCTTTCTAATTGCTAGCAAATTTAGGAATACTCCCATTACTACTTCTAGTCTAGTATGGCTGTATTCCGAATTCAACTGGTCAGTACTGTCAGTTGATCCACTGACTCTGCTGAAAATCTATGTTCCGAAATATAAAATCAAAAATTCACTACTGTAATTCGGGACACGTTTTCATGGTTTTCATCAGTAGTTGTTTCTCGTTTATCTGAACTAGATGTTTAGCCTCCTACTTGTTATAAATTTTGGAAATTTAATATTTAACATGGAAGAGAAATCGATTCTTGTATCCTCTATAGTTTCTACGATTGTTGACGATGGCGATTCAAGCTCGAATACTTGGACATTTTGTTGCCATAAATTTCTTATGATGCACCAGATTGAGAATTGAGATTCGTGAAAATCGCAATATGCCTTAATAATGATGAATTTTAGGAGACATTCCAGGTTTATTTAAGTTTATTTAGCCAATGCTGCTCCTTTCCTTACCTGCTCTACTACTTCATACTCCAGGTATTTTCTGATATTGAGAATCATTTCATTAACAACGGAAATGAATGTTACATTCCTTCCCCCTCTAAAATATGACAGTTCACTGAAGCCACACTACCTTTTGATACTCAGCAATTCCAGCAGAATGTTGAGTCGAAATATTTGGAATGAATAGTATGTCTGCTGACAAGCATCTGTCACTTTCAGTGAATTTTTTGATTTCGGAATGGAAAATCAGCAGATTCAGTACTGTCAGTTGAATTCGGAATATAGCCTATATTTTTTGACATAACTGGAAATGTCAAGATTATCTTGTTTTGAGTCATTCGTCCGCTGCTGTCGCCGCCGAAGATGAAACTTGGTCAACTTCGGGCGGCAGCGGAGGCTGCGGCGCATCTATTAACGTATACATGTTTAATACTTTCAAAGTTTGAATGAACGGCGGCTGCGCCTCAATCTATAAATCCCGTTTAAGTACCCATGTTATTGTTTTGGTATCATGGTAACCTCTGATGGTAAGTACCTACTTGGGGAAGTACCGTAGAAATTTCACACTAGAAATTATCTTCTCAACAATGTTCGCATTTTTACTTTCACGAGACTCTCACTAAATATCGAGGTCGACATACCGTGTTCCAATATGGAAGAAAATTCTTCATTACTTTGTAGAAAACTCGTACCTAAAAGTAGCTTTGTTTTTAATTTAATCAGGGGTCTGGAAACTTTGAACTCAAAACTTGAGGTTCCCCATAACTGAAACCCACCAGGATAAATGGATTATTTTTATTTTCAGATAAAATAAAAACCACATTTCATGAAACAGATTGTTTTTATTATTCATTCCATTTTCTCTATTGTACTCTCCTGTGAGACTTCCCTTTTCCTCTTTCCCTGATTATTCCTACTTTTTTGGATTTTCTGTTCACCAACCCTGAAAGAACAAATAAATGCATGTTATTTATACAAGCAGGTAGCATACTTGTGATACCAAAATATTCATTAAACAGGGTGTCCCAAAATTGCTGGGACACAGAGCTACAAAACATGTGAAACAAGTCAAAGTAAGTGGATTGGACCCAATTAATTTATGTAACAAAATGTACCGTTTGTCTATGAGAGGAGTTATCAGAGTTTACATAAAGAACACATTTTTGTACAGTGTTTAAAAATGAGTGAAACAAATTGGATGGAATCCGACAAAATTGCATTTTAGAGAATTGAGAATTCCCTCCTTTCGGTAATCAAAGAAACACAGAAGAAATTGTAGAAGGGTTGAAACCGCCTTCACCCCCTGATATTTTTTTCATAACATTCTTAGGGTTGGTAATAAATTAATCATATTTTCTGAGCGAAATATGACTGATTAATCATCTTCATTTTGTTATCCTTGTGAAAATTTCGTATTCCGCATTGTTCCGAAGGAAAAAACAATTTTCTCAAATAGTGCAAACAGATATTCCTAGTAAAAGTTCAATATCATTATAATGAAGAATTCAGTTGGCAGTGGAAACAAAGGAACAGCGTTTCTTTTATTTAACGTTCAATATGACGCCCACCTCCATCAAAACAAATGTCAATTTGTTTATTCCCACTGCCAAACAATTTTGTATTTCAATTTCATCAAACTTTTACAAGGAATATCTGTTATAGCACTATTCGAGAAAACGTTTTCTTCTCTCGGAACAAAATATAAGAAATTAATCCTCAATAAAACGGATCTATTTTCTAGTTGCCAATTATATCTTGCAACAGCGCCTAATACTTCGAGTCCGTCCACACCACTCAAAATACTAACGGCTTCATTCTGTTCTGACCAATGACAGTAAATTAGGAAGGATAGTATATCATTGAATGTAGCCGATTCATTGATTCAATGATATTTTCGTTCAGGATCGAGCTCTATTCGAAATATTTCAATGCATGAATAACAAAACCATAACCTGTCAGAATGAAGCCAACTACCCTCTGCATTCCTGCTCCGAGTGCATTTGTGGTTATGTATGTTTTTGTTTACCAGTTTTACTTCTTCTATTTTTTTCATTCGTTAGCTCTTCGCTAGCTATATTCCTCACCATCAGCTATTTTCAGACTAGATCCAGAATGTACGTCACAGTTTGCCGCCCCGAAAATCAGAAATTGCCTCAATTTGAAAATGAAAACGACTTGGACTTTATCGGTCCCCATTCTGTACAGTGTGGACATAAAACTGGAGAGTTCCGAACTTATTTTATGAAAATTCATCTGAAGGAAACTTCCCCATTGTCATCTATCACAGCTCCAACATGTTTTCAGTCTAATAAAAAACCAGTCGAATGAAGCATACTCACATGGCCGTGGCTCTGGATCCGGGCCCCCAGTGCGGTGCCGGGTTCTCTTGGAACCTGACGTACCCCATCTTCCGAGACGCCGGATTGGCGTCGGGGCGTATTTCGAACGAGTAGTCTTTCTCCGGCTCTATGGCCAATATGTGTGAAGCCGGCGAACCGTCGACCAATCTCTTTTTCGAGACGGGATGCGCTTTGGCCCAGCACCGCATTATGTCCCACACGATTCTGGGCGGGGCGTTCGTTTTCACGGATGTCTTGTTCATATGGGTGAAGGATACTTTATAACCTGCATTCAGGATCGCGGATCTGGAAGATTAGGACTCTTTTCAGAAAGTTACTATCGTCACATAACTTGGCGAAAAGAGCCTGTGACAGTTATACCCCCTCCCCCTCCGAGTACTTGAAGGAGAACTGATTTTCATTACATAACAAATTCATTAATACAAATTTCTGTATGCACGTTCACCGATACCCATCTATTCTGTAATTTTTTTTATGATCGCGAAATATCTAAATATACTGTAATGATCGATATTTCCCAAAGAAGGACTGGAACATCATTAAACAGGCAAGACTGACTACATTGATATCCCTGTATCACACATTTCAGATTGTCCTCGCACATAATTTTTACATGTATTCCAGAGGGTTATGGAAAACGATATGGAGAAGCAACTAATACATAAGAAGGAGCGCCTTTCACGGCAGAAGTCTGTCAGTGAGACAGAAATTTATCGTTTTGTTGTTCACTTTTACCCAGGAATAACATAATAATACTGGAAACTTCACTGAAACAACACAATTGATCACTCATATTCCAACACCAATAACGAACAGTTAACAGGAGAAGTGATGGAGTTTGAAGTTGAATGAATTCTTGTGGAATGTAGATCATGATGGCAATAATTTGGTCTAAAGAGACTTTGAAATCTAACATTTGTATCCATTTTTTTTTCGGGGACGGAAAATAATAATTATTTATTTTTACCAATAATTGAAATCTTGGGAAATATTGAACCTATTTGTGAAATATTCAAGAAAACTATATAATGAAATAAAAAACTCGCCTCAAAGCCATCATTGGAGGCATTTCAACGTGTATAGTACCGCTCAATCTTTCCAAAGTATAATACAGAGGTGCATCTAATAATTCCTCCAAAACCACACTAAGAACTCCTTGTATCCTTCTGAATGTACCCAATTTTTCAGATGCTGTATCGAAAACTTCCTGTACAAATTCTGGTGAGTGCAGAGGAGCTGACCATATGGGACCACCAATCTAGAAAATATTGTTTTCTCTGTGAATTATTGAATTAATTATCTATACAGGGTGATTCACATAAGAATAGAGCAGGGGCATGTAGGGGGTCCCAAAATATGACAATTTAACACAACTTACCTCTATACCAAGTTGCTTTCCTAAGGAGTTATAAGCTTTGAAAGTGAAGTTATAAATTTTGAAAAAAATCAATATCTCCGTTATTCTTGAACTTAAAGCAACCAAATTTGGAACACTTTGTGGATGAATTTAGGACGTTACTTGACAGTAACTAGAGTTTAATTGAAATTCGTAAAGGGAGTATACCGGGTGGCGCACCATTAATATTCAACAGAATTTTGTTAACCATTGATGAATTTCAAAAATATTTGCTTTGTTTCGTGGGCAATTCAATTCTAAAACTTTTCTTACTCTAGTAATTTTTCGAAAACCCTCAACATTTTCATGAAAAAATCATCGAAAATTCAAAAGTTGGCTATGAAAATAAACGTCAAACAAGAAAGTAGGTCATTTAATGTGATCAGTAGAAATTGGCTGGCATATTATTATTTAGAGAGGTAACAAAATACGTAAAGTAAGTACAGATACTGAAATGTGAAAAACTGGGATTAACAACTAACCAAAATAAGCACAAAAAACTTGAACAACCAGAAAAAACAATTGTTTATCGATAAATTAAAGAAATTGTTCAAAATGATCGCTGTTTTCTCTTATGCGTAAATTTATTCTTCTTCAAAAATTAAAATCCACCTTATCTAATAACTTGATTATTCCTAATAGATGTGTATTTATGAATAATGCTATTCCATAATTCTTCTTGAGACGCAACGGGCGAAGAATACACAAATTCTTTCAACGTTCCCCACAGAAAGAAGTCACATTTGTTCAGGTCAGGTGATCTTGGGGGCCAACGTTGCGGCGGTGCTCCATCGTGCATAAACCAATGTTGCAACCTTAGTTGTGAAGGTACCTCGTCAAGTAGATATGGGAGGGTGTTTGTAGAAATTCTAAATAATTTTCACCATTCAGCCGATTCGGTAAAACAACAGGACCAATTAAATATCGATCAATAATTCCCATTCGAACATCCATTTTGAATTCGCGTTGGAAATGCCGAGGAGTTATTGCATGTGGGTTTACGTCAGAATGCTCATGATAGTTATGGAGATTTGTGATACCTCTGCGAGTGAAAATCGCCTCATCCGTAAAAAGAATTTTCTTTTGGAAGTTATTATCTTGGTGTAGAATAAACTGACAAAAATTGACACGTTGAACCAAATCTCCGGGTAAAAGTTCTTGGACTTTTGGTACATGATAAGGGTGTAGTAGATTGCAATGGATAACTGGATGCACAAAACTCTGCGATATACCAATTTGTCGAGATGAATTCCTAGTACTAATATGTGGATCATCTTCAATAGCATTTGAAATGGCTACTTCAACTTGCGGCCTGAGTGTGACAGCACGTTCTCGAGTATCATTAGAAAACTTGCCCGTTTCTCTAGCTCGTCATTCAACATTAGAAAATGTTTCTCTATGGGGAATGAATGGAATGATACGGTTAGGTTAGGTTAGGTAGCTCCCGTTCATTTTAAAAACACTCAAACAAAAATTACTTAATTGAACAACTTACTTGCTTCATTGTCAAGTTTGACGTTTATTTTCATAGTCAACTTTTGAATTTTCCATGATTTTAAATAACGCGCGTTTTCAGTTATTCGAGTTTTTGATGAAAATGATGAGGTTTTTCAAAAAATTACTAGAGTAAGAAAAGTTTTAGAATTGAATTGTCCATAAAACAAAGTAAAGATTTTCAAAATCCATCGAGGGTTAACAAAATTCTGTTGAATATTAAAGGTGCGCCACTCGGTATACCCCCTTCACAAATTCCAATTAAACTCTAGTTACTTTCAAGTAATGCCATAAATACATCTACAAAGTGTACCAAATTTGTTTGCTTCAAGTTCAAGAATAACGGAGAGATTGATTTTAAGGGAGATTTTAAGCCTACAACTCCTTAGGGAAGCAACTTGGTATAGAGGTAAGTTGCGTTAAATTGCCATATTTTGGGACCCCCTACATGCCCCTGATCTATGTCAGTTGTTATGTAAATCACCCTGTAATATTTCACTATCTTTCATCACATGAATTAATGATATATGCTACATACAGGGTGTTTCAAAAAATTCATGTGCCTGGAGGTAACCCTGAAATCTCTACCACTGGTATATGAAAGAGACATATTCTGAGCTCAACATGCACTTCATTGATAATAAGATTTGTACAAAAGCAAATCCTACTTTTCACTCTCTGGTACATGTTTTGAAACATACTGCATAAAGAATTGGTTGAAAAAGGCTGCAATAAGTACAAAAGAAAAATATATTCAACATTATGAAAGCATTATGCCTATAAATATTCACTTACATGATGTGGATGTCCACAATGGTCACATTTTCCAGAAACTGGTGGTCCAGTGGGTATTCCAAATTTAACTTGATTCTTATTTTTGTCATTTTTCTTCAGAATTCCCAGAGGATGTAAAAGGAAACTGTCACAACCTGTGCAATGATAAACATGAGAGAGTTTGCTGTAAAAGAATTGTTGATTACTATAGAATTCATATTGTAGTACTTTGAACATAACTATAATATGGTGACTGTGGTAAGTGGGTAATTTAAAACTATCACCTCTATATATCCTTAGATCATCCTATACTCATCACCTACTAAAAACAAACTGATGGAACCTTATTGCCTTTATTTCCAAAGATGAAATGTGACACTTTTCACAGATTTAATTTACCAAACTCACATTATTTGCAGTTCTTTCATATCACGTTGACTGCCGGGCTCATATACACACTGTTGGTATCAGAGCCGAAGCAAAATCAAAAATTTTGTCCCAGAAACCATGAGTGACTCTATGTAGCTGAAGCCTACAGAAGATAGTATATCGTTGAAATTCTTGAAAATTGGGACACTGGATCCAAAAAATTGAAGAAATTTAGCTCGGTCTTATAGACCAAGTCGGCGCTCGTTTATACATGTATACCCGTGTACGCCGCGTCGGTCCGCCAGATCGGTCCGTCCGGGTTCGGCCTCGGTCTAGTGCTGTGTCTGATGAGGATGATATACAATATAAACTTGTCACTGAAGCCGTCTTGGTCGCTCTCCGCGATATTATTAACAATAATTCAGACCGACGGCTTCACGGGCGTTTCAATTGACTCGGTCCTATAGGCCGAGCCGGCCTGGTGTATCAACTCCAATCTTGGTCTATGAGACCGAGGCGGCACGTCAGGATATATTTTTCTCGGTCTAATAGACCGACATGGCAGTCAACGTGTTAATATATGGCAATCAGTAAAAACAATTATTTCTGTTTAATATTCAACTGAATTTTTAATAATGTAGGGTATATTATGGATGTAATAACGAAACATTACCTTATAGTGAATTTACACTTATGGGCCCCAGAATAGACTCTGACAAACACCCTTATATAAAAATCAGCAGACAAGGAGAGCAATGGAACAATATATCTGCCATATCTATTAGCATGTGACTCTATACACTGTAATAGAATCCTGAGAGCCATTTCATGGCAACTCTTCATCCTCAATGATATTGCCCCATACTTGCTGTAACAGGTTTCTGGTGAATTTCCAGCCAAAACAGCCATATCTGTTGCTGTTATGAGTAACAGCCCACCTTCTTTTATTGCCTGCACTGCAGAGTCTAGGAAAATTGTAGGGCAGCCATAAGGATCCAAGTCTATTACATCAAATTGCTTCTCTTTTCGATGTTGATACATTAACATTCTGAATTAAGGGAAATAGACAAAAAAATTGATTAATCAGCACTAGCAAATACTCACACTGCATCATTGTGACTTGGTTGAACTAGACTTTCAACTCCATTCAAGGCAACATTATTTTTTATGTCCTGGGCAGCCTTGAAAGATATATCATTGGCAATGATTTCTCGTACACCTGGTATTTCTTTTGCATATCTTATGCTACGTAAACCTGTAGCAGATAATGCTTCTAAAATTGTGATACCATCTTCACATTTGACACCAGCCTCAGATGTATCCTTATTTATTGTGACAACTATGTTATCCTCATTTTTCTTCTTGCTATTTTTTTCCTCTTGTTCATCTTTGAAGAGTCTTGTGAAAGTTTTTATAACTGAAATACTACAAGCTAATGATTATCATTAACATTTGTTGAAGCTGTAGCATTTTGCTTGAACGTCTTCCATTCCGAATTCCCACTGAATCACTTGAGAACAATAGATTACAAAAAATATGATAAAATTTACCTCAAATCTCTATTGAATTCCTGAACTGGATTGTAGAAAACATTTCCTACTGTTCTGACTGTGGCAAGTCCCTCGGAAATTTCCTGACTTGAAGAAGTCTCGCTCATCATCAAAAATAAAAGATAATTATGAAATTCTCCCTTCCTCTTCTACAGTATGTGCTCAACTCTCTAAAATCTTTTGAAAAATTCCCAAAATGAAATTTAAAAAATAATTTGAGGTTATAGAAACCCAGCAAACACGTTACATATGCGTTACATCGTTACATGTCATGTTACATTACACATGACAGTTTCGCGAAGTCCCAGATTGCAAATGGAAATTATTATTTGTTCTGAACGTGGTTCCTTTGCATTACCACAAAATGATATTTAAAAAATGTATTAAATTTCTAGTTGAAAAGATCGTCATCGAGAAACTGGCGACGAAATCTATTCGAGAAAGTCTGCACATCAAAAGGAAAAGAATGGAGAAGTCTCAGAGAATCCTAGCATAAATGGGCCCAATGTGATTATTAAAAAGACATTTATTGTCTCAAAAACTTCCACAGTGACTATACGGATATTTGTTTTCTTTGGGCTATTTTTCTAAATATCAATTTGAACAACACAATTAATGAAATGCCTACTTTATGTCGCAAACATTTCGCTGCAAAAGAGAGCGGAAGAAGATGTTTTTTGTACATCGCACGCGGATGTTAAAATCGTGGTTACAAAATTACCTTGCTGCCCAGTATTTGCTGGGAAGTGACTGGAATTACGTCCGGCGTATTCGCTATATTCGGTGTCCGGCGACGTTAGCTTAGCTATTATACATATAGGGTGTTTCCCATATCATGAGCCAGACATATAAAATGGGGTCACAGATTAACAAACCTTTTATTCATCTAAATGGAGAAGCTAGAAGTAGGCGAGAGGTATATATCTCAATGATCAAGTAATCAAAAATGTTCAGACAAATTAAATACATACAAAAAAGGTTTTGAAGAACCTGTCGTCTATATTATAGTTTCATTTAAAAATCACCCGGTATATAAATTACCGTCAATCATAATTATTCTCTGTGTCGTCAATGCTCCCGCGATATATACATGAAGCATGAACTACCAAAATTACAATTATTGTGTTTCGGAAGGTAGGTGCCCAGCCAACACATCTGTGACATGACATCTCTGTGAGATGTCGCGTTTATGTAACAGTGCGATATCACAAACATATTCCATCGCTGCGATGTCGCGATGAAGCAACACTGCGATATTTCGAATGTTCCATAACTGCGATGTACATAAGCAAACAATACTGCGATATTACGAATTTTGCATCGCTGCGATGTTCAGAATGGCAAACACATCTGCGACATGATGACATCACTGAAATGTCTTGGTGAGGCAACACTGCGATATTACGAATGTTCCATCGCTGCGATGTACAGAAATATACACATCTGCGACATATCTCGGAGATGCCGCAACCAGGCAACACTGCGATATTACGAATGTTCCATCAATGCGATGTACAGAAGCAAACACACCTACGACATGACATCTCTGAGATGTCGCGACGAGGCAACACTGCTATATTACGAATTTTGCATCGCTGCGATGTTCAGAATAGCAAACACATCTGCTATATAACATCACTGAAATGTCTTGATGAGGCAACACTGCCATATCACGAATGTTGCATCGCTGCGATGTACAGTTGTAGACTTATTGTGGACGTATTTTAGAATTTCAAAAATTTGATAATTAAATTCTTGTTTGGTGAAAAAGAATACATGAATATACGTTATTCAACAAAGTGAAGCTAAATTCGCAAACATTGGTTAAATTGCTATCAAACTATTCTTGGTTTGCTTACATCTCGCCGACAGATACCTACTACATAATTGTTGATACAAATACGAGTAACCGATGATCTCATCCTGATTGAGATGCGTAGATACTACGGATAGCGCCGTTGAAAAGACGATTGAATAGACAATGCATAACCATTATTATAAGATGTAATCAGAGGTCAGTTGTGTATTATCACACCATGTTTGAAAAAACTTTTCACGTCATCTCGCATCACATCGTAGTTTTTATCGCAAATACACATCGCTTTTCAATTACAAATATGTCATTGCAAAAATGATGTAGCTGCTATATTGCAGAGAACTCATATCGCAGCATTCGCAGCGACGTCGCATGGATAAAACTTGAGTGGGACAAAATAACATCCCTCTGACATCGCAGCGACGTCTTGGCGATATATAATGCGATATCGTAGGTCACAATCGTTACATCGCTGCGATATCTGTGATGTATCTGTGTTCAGTACCTAAAAAAATTATAATTTATATACTATTCTCATAAAATGTCCTATTTTATCCACAGCATTTCCATTCGAATTCAATTCTCTTCTAGTGAAAAAAATGTATTTTTATAAATAAACTCATTTTAGGATCAAAATGGACTAGGGATTCTGGTGAAAACAAAAAATCTTACAAAATATGTTTTATTTCTTATTTTATAACCAAGACGTTCTCAGAAAATGCATGGGTAATATATTTATTCATAAATACAGGACATAGCTTTGAAATTCCGAACATAATTCCTGGTTCAAATAACTGAACGTTTCTGGCATACATATATCAAACAATATTCGACTCAGTAATAATTTGTTTAATCTATGGTAATAATCAAAAACGTGATATTACCCATATATAAAACACTTCTGAACGGCTCTGTATATATTTTCAATTGAATATGAATAATATGGAGACGAGCTTGATATGAAGACTATGATCGAACTGTTATTTTATGAATTACAATGTTTATAGAAAATATATCCAGATATTAATAATCGCTTTTTACATTTCTTGTATTATGCATATTGTGGGTTTCGTGTGAAAACAACAAAAGTCAAAATGAAGATTTGAATAAGAAAAAGAAAACTATAAAATATCAACAAATGCACCCATGTTAGCTGATTTCTTAGTTATTTTCCTTGATATTCCCCATAAATAACAATCGGAGGGAGCATGATTCCTGAATAAATATGTATTTAGTCATTGCTTTTTTGTAATACAATTTATTTGTGTACCTGCCACTCATAAATCTTACAAAGTATTGATCTCTATACAAGATCAAAATTCACAGAAAAAAATGAATTCATCAATTCAAACAATGTATACAATCTGACATGACATTCTTCTCCCAAGAAAATTCGGACCCGTTTCAATCCAGACACCAAGAAAATCAAAAAATCGCGAATAAATCAATAAAAAAGATATTCATTTTTAAAATAACAGGAGCAATAAAATTAAGAAGAGGAAACTGCTCTCAAAATAATGTTATATATTATAAATAGAGTATTCTTCAAAAAGGAAACTGGTTTTGAAAAAAAAAATATCAAACATGAATCTTTTGATCTTTTGACAAAAATTCAGGACCCTATTCAGAACCTTCTCTATCTCCAATCTTCAATATCTAGAATTTTAATGTGATCACCATTTCTTTAAACATTCGATGGGTTGTTAATGTAAAATACCAGGTGTCCCAGATGGCTGATGGCTCATATACCTTTTTTGTTTTCAAAGAAATCAAAAATGCACAATTTTGATTTATATGGATATGACACCAATTCTAGGTTTTTGAATGTTAATCAATTATGCGGTTCAACTTCAAGGCATGATTTCCTTTGTGATTCTAAAAGTTCATACACAGAGTGTTCCAGAATAACGTTCGTATACACAGGGAGGTTATTCTGTAACATACATCTCATTTTACGCTCTCTAGAATGTGGACACATTTGTCATATTGTTTAAACATCTGAACAAATAACATGAGACGCAAATATATTCAATAAGAGATAGAATGTCATATTTCTGTACCCATTCATGGAACGAGTGTATATTATATCAAACTCTAACAGTGGCACATGAAGCTCATTTTGTGATTATATAAATATTATGTCAATGAATGTATTTCCATGAAATGAATATTGGATTTTAAAGCTTAAACGACCACTTGAAATGTCGTCTCGTCTTTGGGAAACTCAAATAAATGTTAACCATAATTCTTAGAATATTCGTAATTCGTTATCAATCAAGATATATACTGAAACATTTTCTTTCGAGGGGACGACTATTCAATTTTCAGAACTGAAGTTTCAAATCTGAGAATGATGACAATTCGAAAGTGTCAGTGGTGACAAGCGTGTCCACACTTTTTAAAGGGCGTGAAATGAGATGTTCGAGGCACTCGTATTTGAAGGGAGATCCTAGAATGCAGTTTTCTTCAATTATCATCGTTATATACTGTCTGTAGGTTAATCGAGGAGGTGGTACATGTATTTTACTTGATTTTTTGGGATATTCTCTCCTCGTTTCTATAAAATAAAAATATGCGTATTATTTCAATATATTTGTAGTGGGACAAATCAGATGATTTGCCCCAAAATGTCACTGCGTTTAACATATTTTTCTATCCAGTAGCCTGTCAGTGACACTTTGTTTGAAAAAATGTTTGAAGGAAAGAAATATAGATATATTGAAAAAATATAGAATTTTTACTCATCTTTGGACGTTTCGGGAACGAATCTGCTCCCGTTCTCAACATGAAAATGCAAAATATTTCTCTTTGGAAGTTGTGCTGCTTATAGTTACGAACGTTATTCTGGGACACCCTGTATATAAACTATTGGTCTTATAAACACTCAAAGAATCACCCATGAATGACCAGTCCTCAAAATTCTGAATGCAAACGTGCCATTCGTCATTTTCATTGGGTTCCGTGGATTTGTTGAAACTGTTCATTTCGAGTTAGAAAAAATACAAGGTGTTCAAATTAAATAATAGAAGTTGAAGTTGGTGTCGGTTGTTGTTCAACCCCCCCCCCCCCCCCCTCGGTTATAAGATTGTATCTGACACAAGAAATATGGAGCCATCCTCTGCCACAACTAGAATACAATACTAATAGTCCTTCATTCCATTACTTCCAGATACAGTACTACTGTAATGATGCTTGTAAAAATGGCGAGTATATCGATAAATTTTTTTTTTTTTTTTCGGAAAATGCAGGTGGTCAAAAACAATTAAATTCAGTTTCTTGCGAGCTGTATAATAATGTGTAGAATTCCAAATCCAATTGAATACTTAAAATTGACTTGAGGAGTCATCACACTGAGCCTTTGATATTTCAATATACTCCGTAATACACAGACACTTTATGCATATCTAGAACACTCAGAAGTCTGAGGATGTATAAGTTTGAATGAACACAAGGGCTTTGCGAGTCAGTCACTTTCTTTCAACTTAGCCAACAACAACGCCCTCTGTTTCTCGAGTTCCGTTTCGCTGACCTCGCCTGCTCCTCTTCCTTCTTCGGGCCTGTATTTCTCGGTTGGAGTGCTCTGCATAAACGTAAAAAAGTTAGAAGTACTCCATTCAGTCCGACAATGGTTTATTTGGACGAAATGGCAACTGTTCCTTTTCAATTTGAAATCAGCAGAATGTAGCAATTTAATTTTACTTTCCAAAGTAAGAGGTGTTTTTTCTTGTTGAACCACATGAAGTTTATTTTTTACCGCAATCAAATGTGACGTTGTCAATTCAACTCCTTCAAGAATGCAGACAGTTTCAAACATGACATACACTTTTAGAGAGGTGGAGAAACTCCTATTTTTGTGCTAATTTCTTATGTACACTAAAGAAAAAATCATCGAATTCATTATTAACTTCACCATATTCAGGGGGGAGGGGATCGTTGACATCCATTGTTCATATTGCTTATCATCATTCAAACTGTTAACAAACAATCAAAACTTCTTTCTTCTACTATGGACCCTTTCTGAAATACGATTGATACTTTCTGAAATTCAATTGATTATTCTGAAATACAATTGACGCTTTCTGAAATTTAATTGACTATTCTGAAATACAACTCGTAAAGGTGTAGTGGATGTGGGGAACACTGTGATTGCCGAAAAGCTAGAATTTCATTTTGAACAACATATTTTGCCGATGTTCTATCCGGCTGTGGGCGGCAATGTGAATGTCGAAACTCTGGAATTCCTTTCTGAACAGCATATTTTGCCGATTTCCTACTGGCTGTGGGCGACAATGTGAATGCCGAAACTCTGGAATTCCTTTCCGAACAGCATATTTTGCCGATGTCCTACTGGATGTGGGCGACAATGTGAATGCCGAAAAGCTGGAATTCCATTCTGAACAGCATATTTTGCGGATGTTTTACTGGATGTGGGCGACAATGTGAATGGCGGAACTCTGGAATTCCATTTTGAACAGCATCTTTTGCAATTTGAATGCCTAAACACTGGAATTCCCTTCTGAACATCATATTTTGACGATGTTCTACTGGATGTAGAGGACAATGTGAATGCCGAAAAGCTAGAATTCCATTCTGAACAGCATCTTTTGCCGATGTTTTCCTAGATGTAGGGGACAATGTGAAAGCCAAAAAGCTGGACTTCCATCCTGAGCAGCATTTTTTGCCGATGTTTTACTGAATTTGGGAAGCAATGTGAATACCGAAAAGCTGGGATTCTATTCTGAACAGCATCTTTTGCCGATGTTCTACTGGATGTGGGGGATAATGTGAATGCCGAAACGCTGGAATTCCATTCTGAACAGCATATTTTGCCGATGTTCTACTGGATGTGGGATGTAGGCGACAATGTGAATGTTCTACTAAATGTGAGGAACAATGTGAATGTCGAAAAGCTGGAATTCCATGCTACATGGTGTGCGGCATGTGCCATGGTAGGTACGTGTACGAATGGTGCACCGTTGCTGGATATGGAAAATGTGGACAAAGAAAAGTTGTTGATTAATAATTGTAAATTTTCAATATGCTTGTCTCTGAGGAATAATGTATTCATTTCTATTCGCCACGTTAAGCACTAATTTCACGATATGAGTATGAGACATTGAACATGAATTTCAAAGCATCAAACTATATTTTTGATACTTCTCTATTTTTTCATCCCCTATATTCTCAGGACCTATTCATTGTAAACAAAAAATGAAGACTTTTTTATAGGAAATTACATGTTGTTCAATTTGGTATATCTTCATTTCTCCGCTAGAGGTCGCGATTATCGAATTATTCAACAATAACTCGAAAAAATGTTCTTCAAACGTCTCTCTACCGCCCCGCTCTTTCCCTACAGGTCAGGCCTTTCAATATGTTGTTCATGACATTTTACCCTACCACTCTACAGAAATTTGCGACTACACGATTTTTGGTTCGTTTACTACAACGTAAAAATGGCTTACTGACGATCGATGAAGAGATTACAGCCACCTCTGATGAAAACTACAATGCGTATAGCATACGTACTAACAAGAAAAAGTGCCTAAGGGCGCAAGATTACAAATGGGCGAGTTTCTTTGAACTCTGACGATGTTGTTGACAATTTTATAAGACAAAAATGTAGACGAAGAATTTTTAACAAATAATGTGATTGGTTGGATGAATAGTCATTGTATGTTGGTACCAATTTGAAATATATACTTGTATTCACAGTAATATTGTTTTTAATATATGCATTATTGAATCCCACGTACATAATTGATGAGGGTCAACATTATTTATTGTCCACCAGACCGCGCCACCGACACGTGAGGTCAGGGTTGGTAGAACTGATAAATATACTTCTTATCTTCGTGTCATTTGGCCTTTTGCTATGATATCTTCTTCACCGTCATTGTATGAATTGGTCGCAAAGTTTCACATTGAGAGTAAAAAAACGTAAGAAGGCTCACGTCTTTCGATAACTTGAGGTTTTCTATTAATTCTAATATTCTTCATAATTTTTTTCGAATATTGTCTATAAAACAGGCTTTCTGGCAAAAAATTGTGATTTTTGACTTCGACACTGACCTCAACTTTCAGTAGCACCAACTGGTGAGAATGAATAAAACCTATTATCTGCCAATTGTTTACGATATTTACAAAACCTAATCCTCGGACTCTCTTCACCCTCTACACATAATATGTATGCACTAACTATGCCAATCTGATGTCCGTACCTGCCCTACTAATTTTTGAACCACATGGTATATCGCAACGAAATTTGGAAGGTTACAATAGTTGACGAAAACTTCTCTTATGAAGAAACGATGCTAGGCGTCATTTTGATTTTTTTTTTATAAATGGAGCACCCTGTATATTATTTTTACTCAGATTCAATAATTTTCGAAATATTAACGATTGAAAAGTGACATTTTAGTCATTTCTAACCCAACCAAAAGTTTGCTTTGAAAAAAAAAATTGAAAATGAAAATTGATTCGTTTCTTTACTTGATCGAAAACAACATTCGAGGTTTTGATTGAATTTGAAATGACCAAAATGTCACTTTTCGAACGTTATAGTATTTCGAATATTTCGAAAACTATTGAATTCGGGTTAAGTGTATCAGATGAAACTGTTGAGAGTTATAAGGATATTTCGAAAATGTCAAGCTGTCGTTCAGGATGAAGCAGGTTTTCATCTCCTATTTGAGCTGTTCAAATTTCGTTGCGATATACCAGGTGGTTAAAAATTTATAACAGGAGGAACGGACTTTAGATGGGCACTGTATATTGGCAGTTATAATTCAAGATACTTCATGACCACCAGATCAGATGCTTGCCAAGAGCACTGTCGACCACAATCCGCCCCTGAACAAGACACCAAAGCATATATCAAAAATATGCTGTGTTAACGCTGATATATACTGCGTAGGTGCCTAAACCAATTTGAATGCTCGCTTGTTGGTCGTAAAGCTCTTCGCGCATCCTCACGTATTTTCCTTCCATGTGTTGTTTATAGATCAGTGGAAATGATCAATAGCGAAAAAAATAAATTGTATTAATTAGGTTTAAATAAACGTTTGTCGGTATAGAATCATCACTCAATTACCTTTCAATTCCATATTTTTTTATTTTTTCGTTCGATTTTAAGGTAATTTTCAACGCCCAGAATAAAAACTGACGTCACGATTTCGTAAGTAGGGGAAGACCATGGCACAGTTGCCATATGTTGAAATATGATTGGGAACTTAAGAAATATTATTTATTCAATAATTCATAAAATGTTCCCTTTCATGTGTTGTGTCTGTTCCTTATAATAAATTTGTGTTGAAATAAAAATTATATCAATTCACACTAGAAGACATTTGGTCCTGTAAACATGACAACACCGCTATAGGATTGTGGGCATTGTTTTATCAGTTCTCAGCATTCAGCACATGTTGTCAAGTCTACTGCTAACATTCACATGTCTTATTGTTTTGTTATGGAGTATAAGACATATTTTGACAAGCTGGTTGCTCGAAATATCATGGCTTCTTCAGGTCAAATGGAATATTCAATTTAGGAGTACTTTTATTCAACGACAGGACTCTTAACAACTTTTCAATAGCTTGATTACAAGTATTGGTGACTTGACAACCTTGCTTCATGAGTGGGAATGGAAGATTATCTGACCAATAAGGAAACAGCATAAGAACTGACGTTACCATCTATCCGATCATGAGTGGGAATGGAAGATTATCTGACCAATAAGGAAACAGCATAAGAACTGACGTTACCATCTATCCGACGTTTCCCAGAACATGGCTAAATGGCGGCCATGACAGCACGTTTGAAATAAGCTCTTAAATTCAACAATTTTGAACAACGCATAGACACATCATTTACGTAAAAAACGCGTAAAAAGATTAATTTAGGTCCCAATCGACACAGTGGAGTGATTGAATGCCAATTATTTACTATCAGTCCAGTAGCCCATTACCTAGTTCAGAAGAGCAACCTTAAATTTGGCTTTTCCAATACAATGGAATTGATAACATAACTACTATCTAGACCGTTATATTTATGTCATACCCCAGCAACCCGAAAATCACATCTGAATTTCTCGCCTGAAAACGTTTCTGCTCAATGCGCAAGAACCCCCAAACTGTCGTTCATGACATCGAGTCATGTTTCTTGGTGTTCAGAAATATAAGAGAGAGTAAGACATGACAGGTACTGAATGCACACGCCGCGGCAGATCAAGTTTGATCTCGTAAATGAATGAGCTCTGATATTATGGCATTAGTGGTCTTGTTTGAAATTTATGTCGATGGTGTTGACCGACAATTATGACGCCAATTATTGCCAATTCTACGAAATCACTTCGAATCGTAATTGAGAATTGACTATTTACATTTTGGTGTCGAGAATCAGAAGTTTGTTTTAAGATTCTAGCCATGATATTTTTCGTGAATATTGATTATGATCCCTGATCAAGTCTGAATTGGTGACTAGAAATGGATGAATTAAAAACTAATGGGTACTCACTTTAATTAACAGTATAGTATTCATTTAGATGAATCATTGAAATATTTCAGTCAATTCAAATTACAGTTTATTATCCATCTTTTTCATTTTCTCCTTCATACTGCCACCAATTAGATATACCAGCTGCTCGGTCCACAACCTATCAATAACTTCCTTGTTCAAGGGTGGATCAACATAAGTTTCATCGAGCAAATGTATTATTTCAAACAGTTTTGAAAACTATTCATAAAAAAAATTGTTTCGATTCAAGGAATTTGCCGTATTTTCAATGACGAGGCATTTAGTATTTCGTAGTTGGTGTCAAATTAAATCAAATTGGCCCAATTTCATTTGTTTTTCATTTCAATCAGATTGAAAACTGATGGGTTGTCCTATTTTCAAACCCACTTTATCTGACATTAACAAAGGACAGTAGGTGCTACCAAGAAATAATTCATAATGGCTCACCCAGAAATACTTTTTGACTAAATACTTCACCAGTTCCTGTTGAGTTAAAAACGCTGTCAATACATATTCAATTGAGGGTTAATGTAACGAATGCTAACTAAATATTTGTACTAAGTTTCATTCCAATTTCGGTTTTCAACTGACGATGTAGTTCGACGATAAAAACTCACCTGGATGATGATTTTTACAAAATTAAAACAAGCACAGCGATATCTTTGCAACTGCAAATTTGACCGAATGAACGGAAGTTGAAATATCAATTATGAATCGAAAACTTTTCCCCTAAATTGTATTGTCGTATCTTTGAAAACAGAATTCAGATGGGCGATAGCCAACCCCCATGAGACACCCAGTATAAAGGTTGTTCAAGTAAATCTTTATTATTGGCTTGGGTAAAATTGTATAGAACCGGTGTCGTCTACCTGGGCGCAGCAGGACAAAATTTCTCTCTCATTCGATTTGCTACCATCGTGCTTATCATCTGCTTATCATTATAACCGCTTACAAGTGTATCCTACCCCGGGGATTTTCAATGGGAGCAATTTGCTAGAAAACTACCTGCTTCAGCTTCAATTATCATATTTCTGCCTTACATCATATCCTGACCAGGAACACCGCAGCCAGCCGGCTATTACACCATACCTGCATACACCACATGGAATCATCAGGTGAGTGCAGTTGCTTTCTCGTATTAAAAATCTAATTTTATATGGTCTATGCGATTTGAACCTGCCTAAGAAAATACAGTCCACTCAAATATCGAACAAAGGTGAAGTGCAAAAACATTCCACTTTGAACACCCAAAATGGGATAACGAAATGTCACACTCACCCTCAAAGTCTACTGTCATTTCTATTTCTAAAACTGTTTCACCTCACTTGCTTGATCAATATGAAAATAACCTTTTATATATAATAAATGTTTGTTCTTGTCTTCTAATGTTCTTGGGTATCTTGTCAGATTAAGGGAACACTCACTTCTCATTACCTACAAATAACTTGTCTTGGTTCACAACCAAATCTGTCGAAACATATGTATACAAAAAAATAATCAAATTCACATAATACGAGACATTTTGTTAACATATTATGATAAACGTGAGAATGGTGGTCGATTTTCCAAGACAGAAGAAACATACTGAAAATCGAGAGCTTTGATGCATAAATAATGGGACATAACCAACCAAAATATCACGAAACCACAAGGTAGGTAGAAGTTCGTTGCTAAATAAGGTGACTATCATTTGTTCTATTGACTTTTCTGAAACATAAATCGAAAGAACTAGAAAATTGAAATTCATTGCAATCATGCATATTTTTTAGTTTCAAATCGGACTATTTAGAACAGTAAATTTTATTTAAAAATATAGTGTTTGACCTTGCTTCTCATTAGTATAGACCGGCGAATTTACACTCACGATATCGTGATTGATAGTTTCGTTTTATTTGTTCCATTGCGGTGGCCTTAGTAGGAACAGAATGATAGTAAAAAAAATAAGAAGTTGACAGATGCATATTTTTCAGGATAGAGGATTTCAAACGTTTTTAAAAACTCATAGGTTTTTCGTAGATATCGTAAACATGCTCAACCCCATTCCGTTGAATTTTAGCAGTATCGTAAGATACTGATTCCCATTTTTGATTTTGCAAAAAATAGATTTCAAACAGATCACAATGACTCCATTGTGTTATTATTAAAAATGAACTCAACGCCCATGGATTGTCAAATTTCAAGCAATGACAGCTCTGTCAAATAGATAAGCATTACTTGAGAGGAAATCAGATAGAAAAATTATAGTGTATAACTGGCACGGAATGTTAATTTCCCACTCGAATGATTGCAAACTTCATTCTCGTGGGAAATCACTATCATTCCGTGCTCGTTAAATAATATACTATGGGATAAACATACCTTGAAAACTGTGCATTACCGAACGAATGTTAGTATGAATTTTTCCTTCTGAAACCACTCAAACAATCCCCCCTTGAAGTTTGGCAACATACCTTAAATTACGCCCTGTATAATTAGTTTACCACACTCAGCAATCCGTCTTGAACATTTCTATTTGGCGGGTTTCCGATATTGAAAAATGGGCTCTGCTATCCATGCGATCTACTTTACTTTCAACTAAAATATACTTATAGTACATCAAGTATATGTAATTGAACGTTGTATATTCATACTACTTTGCAAGTGAAGGAGGAGAGTTGTGCTGTCAAGTGGATGCATTTTAAAAACTCAATCAACAATTATCACCCACTTAGGAACCAATTTGAATATCTTCGTTTGTTTTCTTCTTCGTTGTTTGTAATAAAAAATAGCAAGAAACAACACCTCTAATATTGAACAATATTTAATGTATTCTTAATGTCATTGAGTTTGGGAACTATCTATATAGATTGAATAAATTACCTGAATTATAAATTAATTAATAACTCACAGAGGGACTTTTCTTCTTATGTTTCTTCTTCTTTTTCTTTTTATATTCCTCCGCGCTGTCGTCCGAATAAGGCGTCGGGCTTTTCGATTTGTGTTTTGATTTTTTATGCTTGTCACTTTCGGATTCGCTACTCGAAGATCTGTACACTTTCTTCTTCTTTTTCTTGGATTTCTTCGACCTGGAATGATGGTGACTGCAGGACTCTTCCATCTCATGTTGATATTCCTGGAATTAATGAGTCGAAACGAATAAGAGCCGAAAATTGAATATTTCAACCTACTTTATACAGTTTTTGCCTTTCAGAATCGGAGTCGAAGGCTGTGAACTCTTCTTCCTTTTCGAGTTTCACTTTTGCTTCGTCCCACGAAAGTTCATAATCTATGTTCATATCCTTCAGTAGAGCTTTGAAATTTGCTTCTAACTTCTTCAATCTCTTGGTCTCTTCTTTTAACCTTTCCTTTTCTTTCACTTCCGCCTAAAATACATTATTTCTCAGTTCTTTCTTCAAGTACTAACACTTTGTATCATATTTTATAACAAAAAAACACATTCGCGATTTCAATACCTTCTCCAGGAATGAATTATAAGTCAATTTGACATTTCCAGCATCAAGAGTTGCAGATCTTTTATCTTCACAAATAACTGTTGCGAATTGGTCAAAAGAAGTGTCGACTTTAACCTCAAATTCCTTTTCCTTAAGTATCTCCTTAATAATTTTTTTCTCGTCATGGAAGCGAGACTTGAGGTCCTCGACATAAAATTTAAACAGATCTAGAGGAGTAGAACCATTCTGTCCTGTAAAAAAAGTAATTTTGTTCACGGGTAGACAGGCCGGGTGGTCTTCATGAAACAGTGAAAGCTGACATCTGTTAATATGAATTTCCTGATTCTGACTATGAATATTGAACCCCCAAAACCATTTTTTCTGTATTTCCCTACATGAAAAATTAGTACACATCATTGTTAACATGTTTATATGAATCATGTTGTATACGACAGAAAATAAAACATGAAAATGAGATCAAAAAATTGCTCTTAAGAGGTATCTCTTCAGGAACCTCATTCTAAGGAGATGTAGGATGCATGTTTTCAAAATGCGATTTTCTTGAGAACGGTACAAGATATCGATTAAAATAAATAATACCATTTTTGTAATAAAAAAGATGAAGGAATCAAACGGTGGAAGCAATATGTCAAATTTGTCACCTCTGTCGAAAATGCTTCCATTAAACGGAAAAAATTCGTCGCATCCTGTATAAAACATCATCACTGAACAGCCGTTTACATATCGAAAGGGGCATTAGTATGAGTTGAATTGGTTGCCCGAATATCATTTATATCATGGCAACCGTTCAGAAGATATATATATGAAACATATATTTTATTCAAACTTTCAAGGTCAATAACTCCGTAACGAAGTTCGATATACATTTTTTTATATGAAGTATATATCAATGTTTGTACATCCTGTATATGAATAATGTACCATTGAAATGATAACTGAATGAATGACAATCCTATCGGTGGTTAGCGCTCTGATAAAATTTACCTGGAAAATGTCTGTCCATCTTGGCCTTACCTAACATAGCAGAAAATCGTATGTCAGCACTAATGATTGGATACAATTCCACCCAAAGCGACATCGAGGTTAATTTTCCTTCTTCGTGTAAATGGTCTAACAGGGCGAGGAAAGCGTCCCTGTTTTTTCTGCATTGCCTTTTCAATCGCCTTTTTTCCCTTTCCTTGTCCTCCATGTATTCTTTTTCTAGTACTCGGATGTGTTCTTCGAAGACGACTAGAGCATCTTCTTTGTCCATCGCGAGTAGGTTCACGTCATTTTTGAATGAATTGTTTTCTAGCAATAGCACCTAGAAGGGCAAGGGACATTGATGTCGTATTGTCTGTTGTTCAGGGTAGGAAAAAACCAACAACATAATATCCTCAATGTCTTCAGTGGAAGTCAAGTGATAGAGATTTTCATTCCAACTATGAAGAAGAAGCGTTGGAAATCGTAGAAAGCGGTGACCTTCGCTTTGATTGGTTAATATTGGAGAAAATATCACACCTGCCTAATATTGTGACTTATGACGTGATTGAGGTTGAAGTTTTCTATGTGGAACAATGATCACATCATCACACTTCCTTTGTTCATCGTATATTAGCTGATATTGTCACGAGTAGAACATATGGTATGTTAGTAATTTCGAACCATGAGGGTTTTATAAACATAAAGTTAATCAAATCATCCGTTGACATTGAATTATAAAAACTGACCAAGAAACTCTCATGAGAAACGTGCATATCTAATAAAATGATGTATATAAATATTGGATGTGGGGGTTCCGAAGTCAGTCTGGTCTGGGGCTACTCTTGACTTGACAAGAGCTCGTCGTGATGGTCGTTATAATGTAACTTGTTATTAGGTCTTTATATTCATTGTTGGTTATTCATATGTTTGTCATCACTTCCCATAATCTTTCATGCTTCAATAAATATTGTTATGTTTGAATATGGATGAATCGATATAATAAATTCAAATACTCATAACTTTTGTAGTGACAATAATGACCGAATACAACATGAATATAGAACCCTTATACAACCTCTTTTAACAAATACTGAAAATAGATTTATATCCTTTATTCACCAAAATATTCAATGTATCAGTAATAAAATTGTACTTATTGATGAAGTATTGAAGGAGGAAAAAACCTGCGATTTCCTCCTCATCTCGGAACATTGGCTAAACGCAGACCAGCTGGAAATTTTCAAGTTGAAAAACTATGATCTTTGCGCCTCCTACTCTAGGACCACCAAGATACATGGTGGGGTAGCTATCTATAAAAATGACAGTTTTGTAGAAAATACTTGTGAGTTGAACCTAGCCAACTTTTGTAAAGAAGGTATTTTAGAAGTCTGTGGTATAAAGTTGATCACTAAACGCATAATTTGTATTGTTATATATAGACCACCAGACGGTGATTTTAACGAATTTCTTCTGCTATTTAGCGGTATTCTATCTAACATAGATGATGAAACGACAACGCTTATCGTTGGCGGAGATTTCAATATTAATTTCTTGGTTCATAGTACCAATTTAACATTATTGGAAGACTTGCTATCTTCTTACGAAATTGCTATCAGTTTAAGAACACCAACGAGGGTGAAGGCAAACTCTATGACATGTATCGACAATTTTTTTATTAAGTCAAATTACATCTACAGTGTAGCAATAGTTGACCTGAACTTATCTGATCATTATTCACAGTTCTTGAGAATTGCTTCCGACTTGCACAATGAACCCAGCAACTGGAAAAATAAGCAATTTTACTATCGTAGGGATTTTTGCGATGAGAACTTAATGAGATTCCGCACCTATCTACAGCAAGAAGACTGGGTAGAGGTTTTTGCGCAGGAGTGTCCCAACTTGGCATATGAGCTTTTCACTCAGCTTCTTACATACTACTTTGAGATGTCCTTTCCATCAAGAAAGGTGTCTGTAGGGCCACCAAGAAAGAAATCCAAACCCAAAATAACTATGTCTCCTGAACTAGAGTACATGAAAAATAGAGTGTCACTTTTCAATATGCTATCAAAAAATGACAGCAACTATACTGAAATATGTAGAACAGTAAACAGAGAATATAGGGAAGAGTTACGTTCTGTGACTAGAAAATACTATGATGAATTGGTCACTCATTCTAACAACAAGTCTAAAACAACCTGGAAAATTATTAATGACCTACAAAAAAAACGTCCCAATGAACATGAACTGATTTTAGTTGAAAACTATATTCAATATAAGGGTGAAACTCTGGCTGAAAAATTCAATACTCACTTTACAAAACCTTTGTCCGAAAATTTCTCAATTGATACCAATTTTCTCGAAAGTAATATTCCACTCAATACATCAACTTTTTTTATGTCTCCCATCACTGAGAGGGAATTAATACAATTAGTTGATAAACTCAAAAACTCCAACTCGTACGGGACTGATCAAATATCAAACAAGTTGATTAAATATTGCTCATCTGAGCTGTGTTCTATACTTACCTTCCTAATGAATTTATCAACAGAAAAGGGCATTTTTCCTAATAATTTGAAATTAGCGAGTGTATCCCCTATATATAAAAAAGGCGATACTAATGATCTAAATAATTACAGAGCAATAAGTATTCTCTCCAGAATCTCTAAACTATACGAATTGAATTTAAAGGAACAACTAAACGATTACTTTACCTCGATGAAATTATTATCACCATCCCAACATGGTTTCACGACTAATAAAAGCACTGATACAGCTCTATGTGACTTTCACAGTCAAATTATAACTGCCTTGGACAAAAAAAAGTGTGTGATAGGATTATTCATTGATTTTTCACGTGCGTTCGATTGCGTGAATCACAGCCTTTTACTGGAAAAACTATCGAGATATGGAGTTAGAGGGTTGCCGCTAAATTTACTGACCTCTTATCTGGAAAATAGGAGACAAGTAGTAAAAATTGGGGAGAACATAAGCTCTGAAAAACAAATTACTGACGGCGTACCGCAGGGATCCATTTTGGGACCTTTCTTATATCTTGTTTTTGCTAATGATTTATTGGTTTATCTGAATAGAAATTCTGCCACTCATTGCATATGTTATGCTGATGACACTAATATATTAGTAATTGAAGATAACTTGAACTCTCTGAAAAATACAGCTGAAAGCACATTCAAAAAAGTAATCACTTGGTCTGAGAAAAATAATTTGCAAATGAATAAAACAAAAACCAATATGTTACAGTTCATGATAAAAGGACAACAAAATGAGGTGAAACTGTTTGAGAGTACTGACTTGGAATTGAATTCAGTAACAACTACAAAAATGTTAGGTGTCGTCTTCGATAACAAATTGCAGTGGATGTCACAAGTCGATAATTTATGTAAAAAATTAAGAAAAGTCTGCTATTCTCTCAGGTATCTCTCAAATTATTGTAGCAAAAAAATCCTGTTAACCCTATATTATGCTAATTTCAACTCCCATCTCAGGTATGGTATATTAAACTGGGGCACAAGTTCCTTTGCAGGACGAGTGTTCATCATCCAGAAGTATGCTGTAAGGATCATTGCGAAGTTGGGATTTAGGGATTCTTGTAGGGAATCGTTTCAGAATATGAAGATACTTACAGTTGCAGGAATATACATCCTTGAGGGTTGCACATATGTATACCGCAATAAAAACAAACTGGCTGCTAATAGATCAGCACACAATTATGAAACACGTAGTGCCTACTTAATTCTCCCCAGTCAACATCGCACTGTATTCTATCAAAAGAGTTTAGAATACATGGGATGCAAACTATACAACAAACTTCCTGATGACATTAAAGTTTCAGGAAATGTATACATTTTTAAGAAAAAAGTTAAAGAACTACTATTGTCAAAAAATTGCTATACTGTAGAGGAGTTCCTGTCATGATTTGCCATTTGAATGTGACGTATGTATGTTTATATACATGTACAATTGATTTTATTTATACATTTTTGTGATTTGTAATATGTGATGTATATGTGATGTTTCTATATTTATATCCAGTTTTATTTATTTATATTTGTCATTTTATCTATATATTTTTAATTCTTAATGCTACATGAATGTATATTTTTGAATTTTTTTACTGACGTTTTACTCTTTTTTATTTGTATTACCACGCTGTTGGTGTGCAAACTAATTTGAGAAAATAAAGAACTTATTATTATTATTATTATTATTAATATAGTCTCGTACTTTCAGTTACCCCAAAACTATTAGTGGCTATTCGAATATTATACCTCTCGCAAACTATTAAGCCAAGCTAACCCCTTATAAATCGATATGGGTGGGATTAACAATCCTACTATATCGTGACATGGATAGACTAACCAGTCTATTTTATCGTGACAATATTGAAATGAATCCTAAGAACAAGAACAAACTCTACATTATTATTGTTGTTGATGTAGAGTGAGAGAGATTGAAACCATCATAAGAGTGAGATGCGACGAGTTCTGCCCAGTCACGTGACAACTAGATGATCACCAATGGTAAGTTCAAATAAACGAGAGAGCCAATGATCAGGATCTGCTGATTGTGGGCAAATTCCAGATCTATGGTGGTTTCAATACTGTGGGAGCGTGCCTCTACGAGTCGATAAGCGACATGGTGATTCACCGGGATGAGATATCGAGGAATGTGAATCGGGAGTCGTGAACGGACTACGGCCCGATATATGACATGCTATTGAGTATAATACATTGTTACTATTGTTAGTGTTATTATTATATATTAAATAAATCAGTGTTTGCAAGTGTGTGCATTAGTACTGCCTAGTAGGACACCACAATTGGCGACTGAGGTAAGAAAAAAAATATTTTTTTTCTTGTTTTTTCATTCGAATGAGACTTATGGAGGGTTGCAAGCCAGGAATCTTATAGAGGATTCATATTCAGCTGCAACCCATCATATAACATTCAATTATGTCCTATATTTGGATATAACCCATCATGTACATGGGGTCAATTGAGGGGTACTCACATCCAATTGTGACTTAAAAACTCACACTCAAGTGTGTTAACGAGGAAGCACATTCAATTGTGGAATATCTCACATTCAATTGTGAACATGGGTGTTACATTAGATTGTAACATATACACAGGTGGTACATTCAATTGTAACCCACATCACATTCAATTGTGAAAACAGGAAAGCACATTTAATTGTGGAATATCTCACATTCAATTGTGAACATGGGTGTTACATTAGATTGTAACATATACACAGGTGGTACATTCAATTGTAACCCACATCACATTCAATTGTGTAAACAGGAAAGCACATTTAATTGTG